CATTCTCCACTCCCAATGTGGCTCGTATCCATCTTATGAGACATCCTGTATATACTAAAGTATGTTGCAACATGTCTATGTGGAATTCAGTGAAAACATAACAAGTAATGTAAAAGATATACCGATCTATTTATTAATGAACAGTAATCGATATATATAGTATATTGCCGGAGTAGTGGAATTTATAGAACTAAAATTGAATAAGAATTGGGACACTATATCGCATATTATCGATCAGTTAATAATAGTTAGGAGAAACGAGATATATGCAAAAAAGTAGAATACATGAGATATAATATATCGAATATGAAAATTGCATTTATTTTATATACAATATTCTAGTCAATAAATATTCATATTTTTATGGAAAATTTTGTACAAAACAATTTTTAGAACCTTTTCAATTTTGCATGCGCATTAAAAACTGTCATTTTTGGAAAATCAGGTTACAGATTATTATTTCCCATAAAAAATGACAAAGTTAACAATAATTGCTGCTGAAGTGAATTAATATATTTATATCACGTTATTTTCATTTCAGTGCATTTTACTAGATATTGAATTTCAAGTGGATCAAACTTTTTTAAATTGCTTCATATTTATACCATAATATTCCACTTCAACTGTAATAATCCATTTTTATTCCAGAGAAGAAGCAAACTGAAACTATGGTGTAAACTGTAAATTAACTTATAAATAAAAAAATATTTTTGTTGATCTGTAGAACGTAAGTTATGATATTGGCTAATTCCGATGAAACTAAAAGTTCTACTGAATAGGCCAATACATGTTCCTTATACATTGGTTACAATCATCGTGATTAGGCCTTTATTTCAAATATAACACTTATTGGTTTTGCCAATCTACATAATCATCAATATTCACTCCTATTCTCAATAATATATATCACTGGCTATCGAATGCTCTATTTATAAATAATTACACTAGATTTGATAATTAAATACCAAATCTTGGAGATAGTTTCAACAGGATTTATTTTGACAATAATTGAATTGTGTGGAGATTAGCACCTATAAATAAAAAACAAATCACAAAGCATCATGATTTTCGAAATTATTTTATAAAACAAAAGTTAAGCCTGCAACACATGATGCTTGTTTTCCTGCTGGATTAGAATCTTATCGTATTGGCTGCTATCAATGTCATTAAAATAAGCTAGAAATAGCGGAAAATAAGCCAAGTTGGCAATACGGCCTCTTAAGAATAAAAATTAGGCGTTGATATACAAATTTAAAAGTTACGTATAATTAAGTTACGTATAATTATAATTAAGATCGTAGCATAGATTCTTGCATAACGCATAATGCATAGTACATAAGAAAATCAACCAATCGAATTTCTTCTTTTCCTTGGAAAGGGAGAAAAGGAAAGATTCTGATTAGTTGATTCGCTTATGCATAACTATGCGTTATACGTTATGCAAAAGTCTGTGCTACGGCCTTTTGGCCTTTTGATTTTCATGCAGTTTACCATCCACTTGACAAAAATATGTTGCAAGCAAAAATGGCGCATACGCATCGAATTGCTTGGAAGTAAAGTCTAGAACTAAAGTTACTAGATAAATTACATGTTATTAATAAATAAAATATAGAACAATTTATTGATATAATGAAAATAATATACGCATACACGGAACTAACAAACGTTTTAATATCGAAATATTCATGAAATCATGAGGTAAAAATTCAAAATGCGGTTACAACCAGTTATACTTGTCCAAATTTTATTTTCAATTTTCTATCCAAAATAATTAATTTTTAAACAAAATAAAAAAACACGCAAAAATTAACAAACTAGCAATCGAATGACGTTTTAAAATTATTGAAAGTTCGACAGCTGCCTTAATAGCACACTTCAAGGGACGTTCTAACGAACATTCTTTCTCAACCATAAGGATATCCTCTGTTCTTTGGAACGTTCCTGAAGATCTGTGCTGTTAGGGTGTCTTTACACTGGTCCGTTGAAGCCCATGAAACAAACACACCTTGGCTGTGTTCGTATTTTACTGCCAATTGCCAGTACAGTATAGTATACGTAATGGAAACTATAGTACTGGCAGTCATATATGCACATGGCTTTTATTAAACTAACATTATAAACGTGAGCATTCGTGCGCTTATCTGTCATTTTTATTCCTTTCCCCACTTCTTGCTCTGTTCTCACTCTGTCGCTAAGCTGAGAAGGTTATGGTCGTTACTATCGTTATAGGTTATAGCTTCTAAGTTGTTGGAAACTTTGTAGTTTCGTATTTATGTATTTCCGTACTTCGAAATTTTATCCCATAAGAGGGAAAAGAAGAATATAAAAAAATTAAAATATTATATATTAACGAAAGCAAAAAAATTTATAAAATGTCCTGTTGCGTTGCAGTAAATTGTATCAATAGATCAGAAAAAGGTATTCGATTATTTAAATTTCCTGTGGATAATATTCGTCGACAACTTGCTGTATTGCTGTAAAATAAATACATGACTTGTGAATAAACATCACTTTCTCGCAGATGAGAAATTTTAATTCTTTTTTTCAACAGACATACATATTTAGTATCTTATCTAGAAGATATATAACCTGAACGCCAGACACTCAAGTCCTGCACTAATATTATAATAGATATTCAATTGATTTTGAGAGTAAAAATTGAATGAAAGGAGCTACAAAATTTCAAGTAGCAAATCGTAATCTGTAATGACCATAACCCGTCATAGCTCAGTGATAGAATGAGTACAAAAGGAGGAAAAAGGAATAAAAATGATGGATGCGAATACGTTTCTAGTGTTCTAGTTAAACATACGATGGCTGCGTTCAACAGATTCAATTGTTGATGTATTCTTTTAGATCATCCAATTAGCATTCTGGAAGAATACATTAATAGTAGCGAGTGCTCAAGGTGCAATTACATGGAGCGCGATACGCGGTATGCGGTACAGTAACTAAGACTGCGTTTGGAAACGTTACTCGTGGTGTGTTTCAGTGACTTCAGTGGAGAAGTAGTGGGAATATCGTGTGGGTGGTAAGTGTTCCCGAATGACTTTCGTGTGACGTGTGTCATCTCAATTTCCTCACCGCTCACGTTTAATTCTAACCTCGAGCTAAACAATTCATCGGTGAAAAAAGGCGATGGAATGATTGTAAAGAGGAACAATGGCGGTACATGTAATGATTGTAAAAAGAAAGAAATATAAGTCATTTCTTCCAAATTTCGATTGATCGATTCCTTTATACACTATGCATTATGCAAGCTGTGTTGCGGCCATAACACATCGGTTCTCCTTACTTTTCGTACAGGTGACAATTGGTATGACTCTTTCGATGTTTCCGAATGCAGTCTAATAGTAACTAACTAGGCAACTAGGAAACCATGTACTGGCTCTTGCATATCAGCGCAATGCGTCACACGCGATACGAGATGCGCGACATCCAGGTTGCCTTCACTCGAGTGCATCTATATATCATTTTATCCTTGTTCATCAAATGTTAAACGAGGCTGATATAATACATGAATGCACCCGGATAAATTTCTAAACACAGTCTAATAAGCATATATATAATTTTTCCAAATATAGCAGCAAAAGTTGAGCGAAGTTGAACATTTCTCGTACGTGACAAGTGAATGAGTCGAGACTACATAAAAGCAGAATTAATTGAAAAATGTGATCTTGGTATCAATCATGAAACTGATGGAAAGTGAAAGAAAAATTTCTCCATTAATTTCAATAGTAAAAATTTTTATTTTTTACTTTTCATTCTTTGATGATTGATATTCTTATATATTATAACTTGATATATGTAATGAAACATCTTACAACCTCTACTGAAAAAATTATATATATGCTTGTTGGACTGTGTTCGGAAATTTATCCGAGTGCACTCATGTATTATTTATTCTCGTTTAACATTCGGTGAACAACAAGGATAAAAAATACATAGATGCACTCGAGTGAAGACAACCTGGATGTTGCGTGTCGTGCATTGCGTTGGTGTGCAAGGCCATACCACGTACCATCTATTTCTTTCACTGTATTATATGCAGCGCGGTACATGCTAGTGATACACTTACATTAGTATGAATTTTTAAAAATATATTAACTTAATTTTATGCACACTTTATCGATACTCTTATTTTTTTAACAGATTTTCTTAATAATTGCGTTTAAATCAATTAATTCCATTGAAAAGCAGTGCATAGCAGTGTATAGTAATTGAGTTTGTTACTAGCCCGTGTCGCAAACCGCTTCATGTAAAGCCAATTCTACATTAGTTGCAAGTTGATCGCAAATTTGTTGCGAGAGCCAATCTGAAACTTGCATTTTGAAATTAACGCTTCATATTGGTCGTGGCTTGCGATCACTTTACTAATGTAGAACCAACTTAATATCAGCGAAAGAAATAGGCGGTACACGATTTTCTAGGCCGGTATTCATAATCGATATTTATTTCGACCGTCTTAAGTAATGTCTTAAGACGCTAATGCAGCTCTCTGATTAGTGATTTCTTAAGATCGTCTCAAGACCGGTCTTGAATATAAGATGTGACTATGAATACCAGCTCTAGTTGCCTAGTTAGTTACTATTAGTTACTGTACCGCGCTTCATATAATCGCACCCTCACTCAACTGTTGAATTCGCTGAACGCAGTCGATGTTTGTCTTCTTGCTGGATTTCTAGCTAAATTACAATTTAGTCATCGTATTGGTTGCAGTACTGACAATGCCAGGATTGCAGGTAATACGATGAATAAGATCCTAATCCAGCAATTAGCAATCCAGAGATATAAGAAAACAAGCCTGACTTCTATCTGATAAGTTTGATCTTTAGGATCCTTATTCTGGAAAAGTATCGCATACGAAAAACTAAGGAAATACTATAGTATGCGTATTATATATACTATAGCACTTTCTCTAGTTTTTCGTATGCGATTTTCAAGAATAGGGTCTCTGTTGGTCTCTATTCTTCATGGTTTGTAGTGTTAACCTGAAAGAAGTTAAAATCTGATTTTAAATCGGATTTTAAATTTGATGAATTCTATTAGAAATATTTGAAGTTTATTTATTGAAAATTAAAGATCTATCGTAAAGATTTATCGTTGTATAATGAAGAGAGTTATTATTTTTGTTAATGGAACTGATGTTAATGGTAAAGTAAGTGTTTTGCTCATATTAAATTATATTTAAATTATATTTCAATGATTGTTTTATTATTGATAAGTTGATTATTTTATATATTCACACACACATATGTGTGTGTGAAACTGAAAGTCGTAACTTGCTCTGTATAGTTGAATAGCAATCTGTAAAGTCTATTCTACAATGAGCTCTTTGTTTCCTATTTCTTGCTTTTTGTCTCTTGTTTTTTTCCCTTTTGCGACCGTTTTATCGACAAGTATATTTCTTGCTATCTGTTTCTTCCGAAGTTCGTTAACTTTTATCTCGGGAGATATAAAACAAAAAATCGGAAGAAGCAAAAAGACAAGATGTAAAAAATGGCAAAAAATAAGAAATAGAAAACAAAAAGCATTGTAGAATAATCATAAGACTCTACAATGTGCTCTTTGCTTCCTGTTTCTTGCTGTTTGTCTCTGTCTTTTGCCTTTTTGGTCAATAAGACAAATAGCAAGAAACAGAAAACAAAAAGCACATTGTAGAATTAGCCTAAAGTCTATTTAATGGGTTCTTTGTTTCCTATTTTTTGTTTTTTACCTTTTCCTTTTTTCTTCTTTGCAATCGTTTTATTGATTATGACAATTATATTTCTTGCTACATATTTTTTATTTCTTTTGTTTGAAGTTAATTTTTATTTTGGGCAACATAAAACCAGATAAAAGCAAGAAGATGTAAAAAATAATAAAAAGCAAGAAACAGGAAACAAAAAGCATATTGTAGACTTAAGATTTCAGAGAGCAGAGAAAAAACAAATAATAAATTAATCTAAATATACAGAAGTATGATATTAGTATGATATTAGTATAATAGAAATGCAATACTACATGAGAAATATTTCGTATTCGTATTGGAAACAGTTCACTTAAGTCCTTGTTAAATGTTCGTGTTGATAAATTTTTTAACATATATTCGAGTATTAATTTAACATAATGTGATTATGTTATTTTATGTTAAATTGATATTTAACACTTCTTAGTAACAAAATAAAAATTTATGAGTAAATAAATAATATAGAAATAATGTTGTGTTTTAATATGTAAATCCTAGATTAAGATGAATGAATATAATGTGTTTTAATTTAATCATAGATGTTAATTTTACTAAAAAAATGCTTCCATATTGTTTACAAACCAGTAATACTTTTTTGTGTTTAAAATAATGGTAATTATACAGCACAATCACCTCAAAAATCAATAAAATTAGACTTATTCAATACGATTTTGCATGAAATGAAAGAATCTGGCAGAAAAGCGTCGCTCTGCTCCGCAAACCAAGATTAAGCGTTAAAGTTGATTATTGAGGCTACTACTATTGATTGATTATTATTAATTGCAAAATCGAAATCTATGTGCAACAGTACAATTATAAAAGTTGTACGTCCCTTTGCAGAGGAGAAAGTGAAGTATGTCGTTTCGCGTGGGAAGTCGCTTCGCGTAGAAAGTCAAAACCTATGTGGAACAGTGCAATTATTTATTAGATTTCATTTTGTTTCTGTGACAAATTTCATAACCTCAATAGTAGTTTTTTAACGCTTAATATCTCGGTTCGCAGGGACAGAGCGACACTTATTTTTGTCAAATTCTTTCATTTCATGCAAATGCATAAGCTTAATTTTATTTTTGAGGTGATTTTTGAGGTGATTTGCTAAACTATATTATTATCAAAATAATATTTCTTTGTGTGTGTGTGTGTGTGTGTGTGTGTGTGTGTGTGTGTGTGTGTGTGTGTGTGTATGTGTGTGTGTGTGTCAGATGTTGAATAAGTTTTCGTTGTTTTCTGAAGGACGTCGTCACAAGTACTACATGCATAGAATTCCAGTGGCAACTGTTGTATTTGACTACTATACACAAGTTTTCATATTTAGTATATGACATTTGATGAATGTATAAACATTTTTGTCATTGCATTGAAAACATTGACTTTTGTGCCAAAAAACAGCATTTGCGAGAAATTTTACTGCATTGTTTATTAAGAAAAATGTAGCTGAAAATTATTGTTTGTTTGTAAAGATGCATGGGGAGCATGCTCCGAAAGAGTAATTTCAACGATTTAAAAGTGATGATTTCGATAAAAGATAAAGAACATGAAAATGCATCGAAAAATTAAAAGATAGAAGCATTAGGTTAGAGTGGGATTAGTTGTGACTTTTTCTTTAAGTTATTATAAATCTTCACACAATTGTGATAGACTAATGGTAAATGCTTTAAAACGTTGCATATTCATCTGGCTTAATAAAATTTATAAATCTTTAATATATTTCGTAAATAAGAAAAAAATTACATTAATTATAAGGATGCACAGTGGATCAATATGTTCCTATAGGATATATTAAGCATCTTTGAAAGATAAGTTGAGGTTGAATTACATTCAACTGTAACATGAAGATAATTGTTTGAGATTGTATCATTAAAAACATGAAAGAATTATGTGTATATTAATCAAATTTTTATTTTCTTAAGTATAATAATTTGTAATATTCTCTCTTTTTAAATGCTTTAATTAACAAAATTGGAAAAACTAAAATCTTCACTCTTTATCTCAAGAAAATAGATAGAATCTGATAGGAAAACTTTTTATCAAATTGAATATGGGATTTAGTTTCAGTTTTCTGTATTCACTTTTCTTAACATCGTGAAATCCAGATACAAAACCTTCACAATATATAATAAAAGAGGTACTCGTAATTAATGAAAATAAATCCTGAATTTTAGTTTACATTTTGTATTAGGTTGAATGTCGTAATTCACATTGTTTAAATATTAATATATATCTCAATATCGAAATTCGTGATTCTTAAATCTATCCGTTTTAATACGATATTCATTTCTTTCTTCCTATCTAGATATATATTAATAAAAAGTTATTTATTTATATCAGTATTTATATTAAAGGGGATTTGATTCAAATTTCATTTCTGTGATCATACAAATCGGACATATAGAATTTTTTATTCGACTATTATCGTGTTGAATAAGGAAATCTTAATTTATTTTCTAAATGTTCTATAATGTTCTAACTCGTTTTTTTCAACAATACTATATCTTATTGAATACTGATTGTCCGATTGTTATCACATTAAATCAGAAAATCTTGATTCAGTTATGCAAGTATCCTACCGTGTCCTAACTCATTTTCTCGAGAAACTATTACTTGTATATCGTTGAATCTGATCGTCTGATGACTCCTATTAAGTTAAATCCGAAAAACTTGATTCATTCATGCTAGCGTTCTATCATTTATGTAAGTATTGTAATAAATAAGCGACAACACGAAAAAAATATCAGGGCATTACGGGAATTGAGCTCCTCCAATGATAGACTTCCGTCAAACCCCTGAGCCACACAGTTCTGATGCCGATAGCTTCTTTATTGTCCTATTTTCTCTAAATTTCTTATATTATCTTATCGTGTTCTAAACCGTTTTTTAGAAACACTAGCACTGCATCTCATTAAATACTGATCGTCTGATGACTTCTAACATGTTGAATCCGAAAATCCCGTTTCATTTATGTTAATATTCTATCGCATCCGAATCCGTTTTCTAAATAAATTAGCATTGTATCTGGTTGAACTGAATACTAATTGTCCGACGATTTCTATCATATTGAATAAGAAAATTCAGATTCATTTATGTAAATGTTTTATAGTGTTTTAACTCGTTTTTTCGACGGTCTAATACTGTATCTGATTAAATACTGATTTTCCGACGACTATTATTATCAAAGAATAATTAAAATTGGACTTGAGATAAAAATTAAACAATAAAAGACGAGTTATTAAGAGCTTAAATTCGCAGTAATTGGAGTGATTATATCAACATATATTTTTCAATATTATGTATACAGTATGCTTCAGACCACCCGTCCATCCTTTTTATCTCCGCAGAATAAGATTTAATCAAAAATATTCAGACCAAAGTTGTAGAGTTTAAAAAAATCTATTGATCATATCAGTTTGACCTTGAGTGGCTTTGCCAAGGTCAAATCAAGATTACATCGATTTTTTTAAATGAAACAGTTTTCTTTCTAAAAATAAAAGTTTAGAAAGGCTATGAATAAAAACATGTAAATGCGTAAATAAAGGAAAACAAATATAATTATGATATAAAGCAAATAATAGATGTCGTTTTGAGCCCGATCGGGTCATCTTCAATGTTACATATAAAACAAATTTTTAAATATAACAGATAAACTAAATTAATGTACTGAAATTAAACGGATCAATTAATAAAATAATACAAAGAAAAAACAAATATATAAATTCGTAAATCCATCTATAAAATCGCATCCTGTCATCGTGGATCTGATATTACGTCCGCAACAATATAGCGTATAAGTTAGAAATTAAGAAAGTATCAAGAAAGTAAATCATAAAAGTATATAGGTATCAATTGGCGCAAAAAATTCACAAGCATCGTAAATTAAAATTCATGTTAAGATCTATAAAAATAACGAGAAAACATTACAATAACATAATACCTAAAGCAATGAAAACAATAAGTACAATTACAAAAGTATTGAATAAGTATTTAATAAAAAGTATTTAATAAAAGTTACAAAAGTATTGAATATGAAACAATGAAAATCTGATGAAAGTCTTTGTAGATTAATATAAATTAGAACTTATAGTCAAAGTTATTTTATAATTATAATGTTATAGTGTTCACTGATAAAAAAAACTTCCATATCTGTTAATACAAAATTACTTTTACAATATTTAATTTGAACGTTGGCAAAAGAATATAAAATTTAGAAGTATTGTGAAGAAATGTTTTTGTTGTCTGGATGCGACACACAGAGTGAAGGAATCATTGAAAAAGTGGGGGAAATAGTTAGGAAAGGGAAACAAGAGAAAAAAAAGGAAATGACTAAGAGAGGGAAAAAGATTATATAATAGAAAGATAGGATTCGTGTAACGATTCAGATTCATTTTGCTTATTTAAATGGCCCATATTAAAAACTAAGCCAGGGCATGACTCAA